CACGTGTTTTGCCACATGCACGAGTCCATATAAGCTTTGGATGTCCTAGTAATAAGTAGGGGCATTCCATGTGTGAGTGTGTGGTAATCTTTATGAATGTGGAACTGAAATTTGAATTTGGACAGATGAAATAGAAAAGAAATGAATAAGATCATTCCTATGTTTAATATTACTTGGTGTCTCTATAGCAACATGGAGAATGCAAGAGGAAATGATACAAGCGAATCTTCTGAGGCCCGAATGAACAGAATAGAACAGATGCTTGCGGCTTTGACTAAAGCAATGACGCAGCGACTAAGACAACAACCTTTACCTCTTCTACCTCCACCAGTGCTAGCCGAACTAGACAATAATGACATCATCAATTTGACTTAGAAATTTATGAAAATGAAACCGCCGACCTTCTTGGGTGGTATTGAACCATTGAAGGCAGAACCCTGGTTATTAGAAATGGAAAAGTCATTTGAAGTGTTCCCTTGCTCTGCAACTCAGAAAGTCTTTTTAGCTACTTACACCATAAAGGATGAAGCCCGAAGATGGTGGTTGTTGGTTTGAAATAACAATGGGGACATGACATGGGCATAATTCAATGAGATATTCTACAACAAGTTTTTTCCCTAATGCTTCAGGGACCGAAAAGTTTCTGAATTCCAAGAACTCAAACAAGGCAGAATGTCTGTGGCCGAATATGAAGCTAAGTTTACTGAATTAGCTCGTTTTGCTCCGCATATGGTAGACACTGATTACAAGAAAACGAGAAAGTTTGAGAGAGGACTAGACCTGGAAGTATTTGATCGAGTAGGTGTCTTGAAATTGCTTACTTATGTAGAAGTGCTCGACAGGGCATTGATGGCAGAAGCCATAATAGCAGCTAAGAAACAAACTACAACTCCAACAACTGAATAGAAAGGAAAGAGGGCCGGATTCAATTTCAAGAAGGGTCGATCATTTTCGAAGAAGCAAAATACAGGATCTTCCAGTAGCTCTAGTCAAAGTAGCGGATCTACTCCAAACTGCCCCGACTGTGGAAGGAAGCACAAAGGTGCTTGTTACCGTGCATCAGGTGCGTGTTTTAGATGTGCCAAGACTGGCCACGTGGTTAGGGATTGCGGTTAGGGATTGCCCGATGAGATCCAATGAGGTTAGCCGTCCTGTGGCAAGTTCAGTCGGGTCTGTTTCTACAGTAAGATCAAATGCAAGAACCAATGCTAGAGGTGACACTAACAATGAAACGTTGAGGCAAGAGAGAGTGTTTACACTAGTACCTGGAGATGTACAGAACACTAAGTCTGTGGTGTCAGGTATAATTTCCATTTATGCCCAGAATGCATATGTCTTGATAGATTCTAGTTTTACACACTTGTTTGTGTCGCATGCCTTTTCTCGAAAACTAACTAGACCTTTAGAATCCATAAATTATTTACTGTCTGTATCTATGCCATCTGGGGGTTCTATGGTATGTGCATATGTATATCCGGCATATGATGTTGTGATTGGTGATATGACGTTATACGTTGATTTGCTGCCTTTGAGTATTGACCACTTTGATTGCATCTTGGGTATGGATTGGTTAACAAAGTATTGTGCATCTATTGACTGTATGAAGAAATCTGTTGTGTTTCGTCCACCTAGAATGCGTGAGTTTGTTTTCACTAGGGACGGAGTAGTCTCTCCCCCATACTTGATTTTGACTGTGAAAGCTGTTAAATTGCTTAAGAAGGGATGTAGGGGCTACTTGTGTTGTGTATTGGCTGCATCATCTGATGGTACTAATGTGGAACTATTCTTGTTGTTTGTGAATTTCCCGATGTATTTCCGAATGACTTGCTTGGAGACTTAGTTAATAGGGAAGTTGAGTTCACTATTGAAGTAACACCGGGAACGCAACCAATTTCTAAGACTCCTTACAGAATGTCAACCTCAGAACTGAAAGAATTGAAAACTCAACTCTAAGAACTATTAGATAAGAAATTCATCCGTCTGAGCACGTCACCTTGGGGTGCTCTCGTGTTGTTTGTAAAGAAGAAGGATGGGTCGCTGAGGTTATGTATAGATTACCGTGAATTGAATAAGGTAACAGTCAAGAACAAATACCCTCTGCCCGAATAGATGACTTGGTTGACCAATTGCAGGAGCATAAGTATTTTCTAAAATTGAACTTAGATCCTGGTATCACCAATTAAAAGTCAAAGCAGAAGACGTAGAGAAAACCACTTTCCAAACCAGATATGGGCGTTATGAATTTCTGGTAATGCCTTTTGGAGTAATTAATGCACCTGCAGCATTCATGGATTTAATGAATAGAGTATTCAAGCAATTTCTGGATGAATTCATTGTTGTCTTTATTGATGATATATCGACTTACTCCAAAAACAGGGAAGAACGTGAGAATCATTTGAGAACTGCCTTACAGATTCTGAGGGAAAAGAAGTTATACGCAAAACTTTCCAAATGTGAATTTTGGCTTTATTGTGTAGCATTTCTAGGGCATGTAATCAACAGAGATGGTATTTTGGTCGACCCTCAGAAAATTAAAACCATTGTGAATTGGCCAAGACCAACTAATGTGTCTAAAGTGAGAAGTTTTCTAGGACTTGTAGGTTACTACAGAAGGGTTGTGAAAGATTTCTCAAAACTTGCTATGCCATTGACGCAGCTGACACAGAAAAATGTGCCATATGATTGGGATGATCAGCATGAAACAGCTTTTCAAGAGTTGAAAACCAGATTATTGACTGCACCAATCTTAACTCTACCTAATGGTACTGATGGGTTCCAGATTTACAGTGACGCTTCGTATAAAGAGTTGGGTTGTGTACTAATACAGAATGGGAAGGTAATTGCTTATGTCTCTCTGCAACTTTGTCCATATGAAAAGAATTACCCAACTCATGACCTTGAAATGGCAGCTGTTGTCATTGCTTTGAAGATTTGGCGACATTATCTGTATGGTATGACTTGTGAAGTGTACACGGACCATAAAAGCCTTAAAACCTTCTTTACTAAAAAAGAACTGAACATGAGACAGAGAGAGAAAAAATAATATTTGACTTTTTGGTATGGGTTGTTGGCTTTTTGGCTAATTTAGTAACTTTTTGACTTTTTGGCTAAAAATGAGAGTTCCCAAACGAGGCCTAAATCTTTTTCAATCATAATTAAAAAAAATAAAAAGAGCCAAACAAACATCAAATAAAATATAACCAAGGATCTTTTGAATCATAACCAAAATAATTATCATAATATATTATAACTAATATGACAATGAGTCATATAATGAGCTGTAATCAAATCATAACTAATACCATAATTAGGGGTGTTGAAATTACCCAATAAATCGAAGAACCAAACAAAGTCAATCTTTTTGGATTGGGTTGGGATGCTTTTTGAGTGCATTGGTTTGGTTTTGGATTTTCAAGTCATCAAATTGATAGGATTGCATTAATTCTTGATTGAGGCCTTACATAAACAGAACCAACCTGAATACCGAATCTATTTATTTCGCTATATCTTAACGTAATTGGTCTATTACAATGGACTTGATTATACCTAATAATTTTCACATGCAAGAATTATTATGTAGCTAAAGGAACTACTAGAAACTTGAATTGAATTTCATAATTGATTTAATTTTTAACATGTATCGGTTGTATTAATCGATTTAATTTATATTAATTATGTTTAAACTTGAATTAGATTTAATTTGTATTGATTAATCGATTTAATTTATATTAATTATGTTTAAACTTGAATTAGATTTAATTTGTATTGATTACATTAAATAATATTTTGCTTTTTATTTGTGTTATATTTTAATATTAAAGACTTATTTATTTTAATTATTTATTATTTATTGATTCACTTATTTTTAATATAGTGAAACTATGGTTCCAGCCTGAACCAACCCACACTATATTAGATTGGTTCTAGTGAGAGGATGGGAAAAAACTTAAGCATTGTTTGGGATGACCTAAATAAGTGCATTTTTTATTTTTTTACGAAAAGATGTGCAGAAAAGTAGAAAGGTGATGTAATGAAAAAAAATAAAAAAATAAAAAAATAAAAAGATAAATTATTTTGTGTATGCCAAACTTGACTTTGGAATTAATTATGATTGGATTGATTATAAATTTTGTGTCAAATCGACCTACGAACACCTTTAACCACAATAAATCGTATAATTAAATATAACTATAATACTTAAAAGTGAGATATATTGTGGATTTTCCTTTTATTCACAATCCTTAAAAAAAAGTGTACGAAATTATTTTTGTAATGTAAATAGAATGACGAGTAATATTATAAATTTTAAATAAGTTATTAAATATTTTATTTAATAAATTTTAAATATTTTATTTAATAATTTATGTGAGTATTATATAAAATATTTACAAATAATTTGAGATTTTTTAAATAAATGTATTTTTTTATTTTTTATAAAAAAAATATATAGAAAAATAAAAAAATTAATAAAAAAATAAAAAGAAAATATTAATAGATATTAATCAATATAATCCAAATAAACATATATATAAAAAAATATACTTTTTTAATATATGTCAAACGTTTATACTTAGGTGTCGTTTGGGAAGTGGATTGATTTTTTAACTTTTTGACTATTTTAACTTGGGTTAAAAAGCTTGATTTGAGAAAGACTTTTTGATTTTTTTAACTTTTTTTTATGAGAAAAGAATGTAATAATTATGAATTGAATGTGATATTTTATTTATTGTGACTAAAATAACTTATTTTATCTTTTATGATTAAAAAAAAAAAAAAAATCACAAACTCATCTTCCCAAACGGTGGCTTAATAACTTACGTAACATTTGATTCGTGCTCCTGCTTGCCAGGTGATGAGACAAGCGCAAGGGCGCTGTACTAACTGAAAACTAAACGGGTCCCACTGAACGTAGCCGCTTTTGCGTCCAATGCAAGGTAGACGAACAAAACGTGTTCTGTTCTCACCAGAAACACATTGGTAACCGGCTATTCCCAGTCACCACACTTGGGAATTCCGTACACCAAAGCGTCCCCCGTCTCCCTAATTCTCATCCAGGTTCATCTCTCTCAATCTCTCTCTCCAGTATATATATAACTCTCTCACTCTCCTTCGAGCTCTATTGGAAACGTCTGTATCATCTTCATCTCCAACCCTCTCTCACTGATCTCAACTTCTTTTCTTCAACTTTAAAGTGCTTTATCCCCCAAACACTTCAAATCCCCCAGTGTTCGCATGGCTGATCCAATTCTCCCCCCACACCTACTACAACTACCAAAACAACAACAACAACAACAACAACAACTCGATTTCAATCAATCAAAAACCCAAGACACCAACAACAAACAACAACAATCGGACAACGATTATTATGAATTTACCCTTTTAGGACAACCCATGTCTTTCAATGCCAAAAAACGATCTCAGATTTCCCCCAATTCATGCCCTTCCAAAAGGGTTTTGACCGAACCCTTAATGGAGCTGAGGCGAGCCATGGTGCGGAATTGGGGCAACGAACCTCTCTGTGTTGCTGACCCACATGTGTTTGGCATTATGGAGATGGAAAAGGAGAGGCAATTCAAGGGAATTGAATTGATTGCTTCGGAGAATTTTGTTTGCCGGGCTGTTATGGAAGCTCTGGGAAGTCACTTGATGAATAAGTATTCCGAAGGAATGCCTGGTTCGCGAAACTACGGAGGTAATCAGTACATTGATCAGCTTGAATTTCTCTGTATCAATCGTGCTTTAGCTGCTTTTGGGCTTCATTCTGAGAAATGGGGTGTCAATGTTCAGCCATATTCATGTACATCTGCTAATTTTGCTGTATATACTGGTCTTTTGGTTCCCAAAGATAGGATTATGGGATTAGATTCGCCGTCTGGTGGGCATTTGAGCCATGGGTATTATACACCGAATAGGAAGAAAGTTTCATGTGCTTCGATATTCTTTGAGACTTTGTCTTATAAGGTTAACCCACAAACTGGGTATATTGATTATGATAAGCTTGAGGAAAAGGCAATTGATTTTCGTCCCAAATTACTGATTTGTGGTGGGAGTTCGTACCCAAGGGAATGGGATTATGCAAGGTTTAGGCTGATTGCGGATAAATGTGGGGCAGTTTTGATGTGCGATATGGCTCACATTAGTGGTCTTGTAGCAGCAAAGGTGTGAATGCTTCTAGTCATGTACACATTGTATGCTTTGTTTTTAAGGTTTTGATTATAATTTTAGATTTATTTTGTATAAATTCAGTTGCTTTAATTTTATTGTAGTTTTGATTGAAAAATGACTTATTTAGAGGGATTGGATTTTGTTTATAAATATTGTGCGAGCTGTTATCAATATTTGATGTGAATTGATCAATCCATCACAACAACTAGATATGATATTGCTGACTTGAGTTTGGATCAGCTGCCAACCTCCAGTAGTAATTGGAGTGCCATTCAAGTGTATAACCCTACATCTACTCTTAGCTTTAGAATATTTACTGTTCATTTGTGAAGTTCAATTCATGTTGCAACATAACAACCAAAATGTGTTTTACTTCAATACAACTACAGATTACTGCAATCAAAGGCTATTTACATTTCTTGTATTGCCTTCATTTGTACTCAGCTAATATTGGTTCATGCACATTTGTTTATGCGTATGGTATACAAAAATGTGCATGTATTAATTCCCTGCTCCACCCGCCCTAAAATTTGAATGAGGTATAACACTAGGAAATGCAGCTTTTGACAATTGTGCTGAAATAATGACCAGAGTTTGTGGTTTGTCCTTAAGTTCTATATGTTAACAAGATGGTCGTATGCTATATATGAAAAACTGCCTTCCGTATTGAGTTTTATTATTATTATTAAAAAAAAGAAAAATAGTTTTGTGCATCTTGGGGGGTTTTACATTGGCTTAGGAGATATATATGTCGTTATATACTGTTATTATTATCCCTTGGCCTAATGGGTATAACTTGGGACTTGGAGGTGTGCTCTCTTCAGGTCTTAGGTTCAATATTCATTAGCTGCAATAAGTTCCCTGGGACCAGTCCATATAGGGCGCTTGCTTTGACTTTAAATGGGGGCCCTACAAGTAGGTGGTGGGATTGGTCTTCGGGATTAGTCGAGGTGAACATAAGTTGACCCAACCTCCCAATTATCAAAAAAATAAAAATAAAAATAAAAATAAAAAATTACTTTCATTATTACCAAAAAGAATAAAATAAAAAATGAAAATAAAAAATCTTCGCATATAAATAGTCTCCTTACTGAAAAAACTTTCTTATAATCTCATACTTGTTGTTATTGAACTCTATGCTCCCATTATTGTTAGGTTGGATATTGTTTGAATTTGCGGTTTCTTGACTTTATTATTGGGTGAGATGTTTTAGTGACTTGGCTAGCCGTAGTTGCCCTTTTAACCAGTTTTTTTTATTATTTATTTTTTTATCAGGCCAAATGAGAAAATATCGACATCATATTCTTTGATAACTTATGAGATTCATATTTACACAGTAAGCCCATAGCAAATGTATCTTCTTTAACAATTGAAGCACATAATAATATTTGATGCTAATAGATCAGCTACCATAACTTTTTTGCATTCATAATAACAATTGAAGCCTGATGGTTGCTTGCGTGAATTTTGCATTCATAATAGATCAGCTACCATAACTTCTTTTTTCAATTACCCAATTACTTGATTCCCCAATCAGTTGGTTGGGTTGAGTACATGGATCTATTTTTTTCAATTGGTTCTATTCACTGTCATATCTTCAGTTAAATTCATGACATTGAGGAGGTATAAGCTTAAAATGAGAGCATCTTGGTGGATGATTAAAGTGTAGTTTGGCAGTAATGAGATGAAAATTGGTACGTTTAGCCTGATTGCTTTGCATTTACAAAGTCAAAATATGCAATATTGTGTTTGGATGAAGACTTATGTTGTGACATGAGACTAAGGTCCATGGAACAATGCTCTTCCCAGGAAGAAGAAAAATAAAATGAAGAATGAGAGGCGGAGCCGGAGCCGGAGTTATACGAGTATTAACTTTTTTTTTTTAAAAAAAAAAATACAAAAATCTAAAAACATTTCATTTCAGTTTTTATTTTGAATTAAATTTCTAGTAAGAATCACATAAAACGTAGCGTTATCTTCAACAATATAATTTAGTGGGGTCATTTTGATAAAATCTTGAAATATCAATTAATTTTTTGACGAGAAATATTTAGGATGACGTGCCATGGTGTATGTTTTTTGCAGACGATATCGTTCTAGTGGATGAGACCAGAGAAGGAGTTAACACAAAGTTGAAGATTTGGAGAAAATCTCTTGAATCTAAAGGATTTCGGATAAGCAGAACTAAGATAGAGTACATAAAATGTAAATTTAGTAACAGTAACAATGAAAGTAGAGGAGAAGTGAAAATTGAGAACCAAGAACTGTCTAAGAGGGAACATTTTCGTTATTTAGGGTCGATTATCACAACAGCAGGGGAGATTGATGTGAATGTGGCCCATAGGATTAAGGCGGGATGGTGCAAGTGGAGAAGTGCGTCTGGGATACTGTGTGATAAACGAATATTCACTAGATTAAAAGGTAAGTTTTATAGAACGACTATTACACCAGTGATGTTGTATGGGATGGAGTGTTGGGCAACCAAGAAACAACATGTAGATAAGATGAGTGTGGCTGAGATAAGGATGTTAAGGTGGATGTGTGGCAAGACTAGACAAGACAGAATTTGGAATGAGTGTATTCAAGAATGGGTAGGAGTAGCACCGATAGAAGATAAGTTGAGAGAGAATCGATTGAGATGGTTTGGTCATATTCAACAGAGACCAAAAAAGATAGTAGCGAAGAGATGCGATGCTGTAACGGTAGATGGAAGTGTTAGCGGATAGGGTAGATCTAGATTAACGTTGGCTAGCGTTGTAAATAGAGATATGGATCTACTTAATTTGACTTACGAAATGGCCTTTGATAGGGTCACGTGGAGAAGAATGATTGATATAACAGACCCCATTTGATGGGACTTAAAGTTTGGTTTGGTATGATATTGCAAATTATTAGTTAATATTAAATAAACCCCAATTATCTATGAAATTTCAGTACCATGTAGCTACGCCCATGCCTGTTCCTGTGCACGTGTTTCCTCTTTTCTTCAAGATATATCTGCATGGGTTTTCTCTTACTTTGTCCGGCTGGCATCTTTACAGGAATGTGCAAGTCCCTTTGATTATTGTGATATTGTAACCTCAACAACTCACAAAAGTCTTCGAGGTCCTAGGGGAGGAGTCATCTTTTATAGGAAAGGCCTAAAATTAAGGAAGCAAATCATGCTTCCTGGTCAAGGAGATGACAATAACTTCTATGATTTCGAAGAAAGGATAAACTTTGCTGTGTTCCCTTCATTGCAAGGAGGGCCCCACAATAATCACATTGCTGCTCTTGCTATTGCCTTAAAACAAGTGGCTACTCCGGAATACAAAGCATATATCCAACAGGTGAAGAAAAATGCTCAGGCTTTAGCATCTGCTTTGATGAAACGAAATTGTAGGTTGGTGACTGGAGGTACAGACAACCATTTATTGCTTTGGGATCTAACAACTATAGGGTTAACAGGTAGTTTCGTCTCTGGCTTTTTCCTTACCTGGAGTTTGTTTTAGATATGAATCATATGATCAGTAATTTGACAATTGTAGTATGCTGGGATAATGAAACATAACTTTTCGGTCACTCTATTATTTGTAAACATTCTTTCTTTTGATAGTTTTACCTCCTTTGGTCAGTATATTTGAGATAATATAGATATGCATATGGCCATGTGATCTTTATTTGTAAAGTTAGAATTTGTTAGGTGTTCAAAATGGTAGAGTTCCTAGAAAGTTTGAAGGTCACCAGTTTGTCTAAATGTGGGGATTTTATTATATTTGTTGGGAGGCTGGTGTATTTAAGCATCTTTTCCCTTTTTTTTTGGTCCTTGACTTCCGAATACCATGTTTGGTTTGGATACTTTTGGTGATTTAGTTATTAACAGTTTTGGTGATTGAATTAGTATTTTGTTTTTAGAACAGTGATTTAATTAACTGCACTGAAGTGCTTCCTTAACATTTTTTTATGCAAACCATAAAAATATCAAGAAAAAGTAAAATTAAAGAAGCAGCAAAATTTGGAAATGGTTGGTTTCAAGCCAAACTTAATTGCAATCAATTGGAACCATGTATAATTTAGGTTTAGCGGAGTCTTATTTTATGATTGTTTAGGTTAGATATTAATCTGTTTGTCTTATTATATGTTTTCTAGTTATTAGTAGGTTTTAGGTAATTATAAATTTTCTTCGTGTGTAGGATTCACTCATGGATCACTATGTAATTGAGTTTTATTCATGGATCTTATTTTCTTTTAGGCTATAATTTCTAGTGGAGGTAGGTACATTTTGGTTTAATCAGTTTTCTAGTGTTTCTATTTATTTCTTATCTTGTTTATGTTTCCGGTGAGGGTGACAAATAAAAGAGAAAAATTGATGAGTGATTTTTTATAAGGTGTGATGAGGGGAATAAAGACCATTTAATTAGTTGGGATGTGATCTCCCTTATAAAGTGTAAAGGGGTTCTTGCCATTGGAAATATTATTGCTAAGAATAAGGCGCTGTTTGTTCAATTGTTATGGAGATATTCCCAATTGAGAGAAATGCTTGGCATTCTTTGATTAAGAGCAAGTTGGGGTTCATCCCAATGGATTCTCATGTGGTTTCTAAGGAAAAGTTCATTTCTTTGGGTCTTGATCATTTCTCGCACTTTTCATTCATTTTAGGGTAGGGAATGGGCAATATATTCTTTTTTGGGAGGATGTTTGTATGGGGGATAGCTCTTTTGATCATTTGTTTCCACGCCTTTCTAGCTTATTTCATACTCATAAAGTCTATTGCTTCTTTTTGAGGCTGCCATTTCTTGAAGTTTCAGTTTCTTGAGCAATCAAAATGATAGGAAGGTAATGATTTGGCATCTTTGTTAGATATTTTTCATAATATTTCTTTGAGACATGATGTTATTATGGATAGTAAAAAGTGCTTCCCCCTTGATGCTTCATGTGCAAAAAGGCGGAGGAGTGAGTTGATCACCTCTTTATTCATTGAAGGTTGGCGAGGGAGATACCTATATGTTGTTGTCCCTATCTAGAGTGAGAAGGGTGTTCCCAATGTACTGTGGTTGTGGTTGTGGTTGTCTGACAATAAGAGGAGACATAATATTAGCAGAGCATGCATACTCTGGACAAAGGCCCTACATTGCCTTATGTGTTGCATTTGTTGGGATAGGAATCGGCATCTTTGATGCTGTGAAGGAACTGATTAACAAATAAACAAATTGAATATTGCTGATGTGAGGGAAACACAAATCCTTCCAGCTTTTTGGTTGTAGTTTATACATTCGATTCTTGGCTGTCTACAGGTTAAGTTGAGTTCGCTCTCTACTATGGTTGGTGTGCTTGTTTTGGGAACTGGTGAGGAGCATTATCTGTTGGTGTTACCAGTTGTCATATTATTTCCCATTTTCTTAATGTTCTTTTTAGTGGGAACTCAGATTGGTTTTTACTGTAGCAGCACAAGTTTGATTCTTAAGTGCCTTTCCATTCAATTAATGAAGGTGGATAGATAATGCTTATTTATACAATGAATCTGGGGACCAAGTTTTAAAGAAGACATCCAGTATAAATTTCCAGGTAGAGCAGCCCAATATCATTTTCCTTCATAGAGTGACCTAGACCAACTGACAAATTGGCTACCCTGATTGCTTCTTCCTAATATGCCCAATGCATTGGCTTACAAAGCTTTGGTTTCCTGCAAATGTGGCCGAGCTATGAAGTGCGGACACCTCCCCAAGGCCTGTGTACAAGTGTCGGACACGCTGTGGACACGTGTCTGACACTCTCCCTTACGTGTCCCTTTTTTTTTTTTTTGGAATTTTTCCAATCGGACATGTGGTGGACACACGATGACACGTTTTAGACATGCGTGAGGTGGATTGAAGAAGCCCTAAACCTGTTGGGAAGGGAGAGAGAGAGAGAGAGAGAGAGAGGGACAGATCAAGGGAAGAGATCGAAGGAACGCTAACCTATTTCGCGACTTGGTCTTCTCTGTTCTTCTTCTTCTCTATTCTTCTTCTATTCGTCTTCTGTCTTCTTCTCTTCGTTTTCTTCTCCTCGTCCTTATCTGATTTCATTTCTCTCCCCTCTTTCGTTTTTCTTTCTCTCCCCTCCTTTTTTTTTGTTTATTTTTTATGTCGGTTTTGCAAACTATGTTTAATTCCTTTATTTTCTTTTATTTATTTAGTTATTTTTGATATCCATGTTTTTGTTGAACCTAAAGTTATAAAAAAAATTATTTTTATTTAAAAAAAAAATCAATTTTTATTAAAATATTTTAGGTAATGTGTTTATTAAATTTATTATTATTGTAATTTTATAGAAACCAATGATTTTTTTTTAAAATTTTAGATATTTAATAAATAAATAAAATGATATATATTAAATGTGTTTCCAACGTGTCGTGTTCCCCATTTTTTAAAAATTTGCTTGTCCTTGTCATGTCCCGTGTCCATGTTCGTGTCCGTGCATCACAGTGGCCAAGTCATCCACAAAATTGATTGCTCACCCTTGGGGCATGTTGAACTTCTAGGAACCATTTCATGAGTACTTTTGTAACCCCATAAGATTCATTGACGTATCATTTCTCAGTCCTTGGACCCTCTCCTACTTTTGGCATATGAGGAATGTAGGTTGCCTGGTTAATCGAATGCATCCTTCATGTGCAGGATTTACATCTTACAATTGGCATTAAGAGCAAAGTATCATAGAATGATCATTGCTTTCCTTACATTATGTCACCAACTGATAAAATCTGTATGCTTATAGCATGTTTCACTGTATTCTTTTTCTTTTTTCCGTACACTTTTTTTTGGGGGTCTCTCTCTCTCTCTCTCTCTCTCTTTCTATATATATATATATATACATATTTATATATACATACATACACAAATGCAAGTCAGGGCCAAATATCTTTTGGTGGAAGAATTGTAATTCTTTTGCCTGTTGATGACTTCTAACTGAAGCTATATTCACCAAAACCCGTCTGTAGATTACCCTCAAGGGCTTACATGAACATTCAGCTCTATCATGGGGGACAGTTTCTGTAACTGGAAGCCTTGAAACAATAGTTTTCTAATGATTTATTTTCTTATTTTCTATTGTCACAGGTAAAAACTATGAGAAGGTCTGTGAGCTGTGCCACATCTCTCTTAACAAAACTGCTATATTCGGTGGAAATGGTGCTTTTTCTCCTGGAGGTGTAAGGATTGGTAAGTAATTGTTTCATTGCGCTTACAGTTAAATAATCAGAAACTCTGCAAAAATTCTTCAGCTTTTACGAAATTTAACAAAATCATCCATGATATTTTAACTGAGTGTGTCTTCCAGCTTAATTTCTTACACTCCAATATTTCCCCCATTGCAAAAAAAATGTGGATATTGCAAATGGTGCCCTTTTGTCAAAACAGATTGTCAATTAATTCTTCCCTGAGTCAATAAGAAAAACTTACTGAAATTTCGCTTCTCATTTACTATTGTTCTTGGTAGTTCCTGAATCCCTAGTCTTTTTTAGTGGCAATTATTTTAGAATCTTGTTTAACAATGCCCTTAAGGACTTCATCTGGATGATATACTCATTTATTAGACATTTGAATCTCTATCTATTTCTGCAGGTACACCTGCTATGACATCAAGAGGTTGTATAGAGGCTGATTTTGAAAAGATTGCAGATTTCCTCCTTAAAGCAGCTCAAATTGCAAGTGCAGTGCAATGGGTACATGGAAAGTTGCAGAAAGAATTCATGAAAGGTCTGCAGAACAACAAAAATATTGTTGAGCTCCGAATCCAGGTTGAGACATTTGCTTCCCAGTTTGCATTGCCAGGATTTGACATTTGAACACAGATGGTGAGGCTGCTGGCAAATATTGTCAACATCATAATCTAACTTCTTTGGCTTGTCAACCCTTTAACATGGTAACCTATATCTGTATTCCCTTCCATACCCTCTTTGTTTCCCTTTTTTTTGGATTGTCTCTTTGTTTCCCAGTCTCCTATAAATAATGGAAAATGTTTCAAAACATAGGTGTATGACATCGAAAGTTCAAAAATTATCTGATACCCAATCTGTCTAGCAGTCGCACAAAAAAAGAAAAAGTCCTGCAGTCTACGAAACCAAACTAAACAAACTAAGCCTTGTGTCTTAGTCAAGTGGGGTCAGCTACACGAATCATTTTGCATCATTCAGCTCTATCTAGGGCTATATGATCAGTTAAATTAAGTAAGTTCATATCTTTTTTCACTACCTCATCTCATGTCAGCATAGGTCTTCTATGATCTTCATTTATGGTGATCATATCACTCTCTTTCTCACTGTTGCATATTCTCTTTCAATTTACCTTTGCTAGGTGCTACTCCTATTTCATAAATATATTAATTTGTAATTCTAGGTTTCTATTCTTACCACACATCTTTTTTTTAATTTTTAATTTTTTTTTATAACATTTTTCTTACCCCACACACACATCCATCTATGGATTCACATCTAAGCTACACTCATTTTTAGCCCATGTTGTCTCCCTGTCTCGTAAAGCATCGCTAGCCTTATAACTATTCTACAAAAAAGTCTGGCAGTTTGTTTTGTATTATACAGAACAGTTTCACTCGCATTCTGTTTCTCTTTCTTTCTCGCTTTATTATTATTTTTGTTTGTTTTTATGTATGTCACGAAATTATTTGGACTGCTATTCTGGTTATGTGAAAACTTGGTAAGAACTTTGTATAATGAGATAGATCAGGAAACTTTAATCCTGAGCTGTGTGAATGTAGTTCTGTTCTGGTTGTGTTGTGTCATAGAGAGTAATTTGTATTTTGATCTGGATTTCCAATTTCATAATTGGCAATTGCTGTTAGTCCAACTATGTGAAACTATTGACTTTCTCACTTGGTCTTGTTGCTACTCTGTATTTGCTTATGAATGGAACCATGTCTTCCCTCCAAGGAACATTAAAATAATTTCCAAATCCCATTTATTTAATTCAAATAGATTTTACTTCAATTTTGTAATGTGAATAAAATAATATAACCTGGTGTGCAAACAGAAATGGTCTTGTTTGACTGGGTTAGTTGAAACATGATAACAGTGTTGCTGTAACCTCTAAAACTCTGGCATTATTTTTATGCATATAATAATATAACAATATATATAAATACATACTTTTTGTTAACTCATCTCATTATTATTATTGATTTGTTTATTTAGAAATTTGTGTAATAAGTAGACCAAACCCTTCATGGGAGGCAAGTCATGAATTTCCGGCAAAGGGACAAAAAGCATGAGATCTGCTCACAATGTGGGGAAAGCGACTCTAATTTTCTTTACATTTATATATTTATGTATATATACGCACACACTAAACATCCACCCCAAAAATAGGGAAAAGAAATTGGCGACGGAAATGCAACCTATTCTGAAAAATACTTGAAAAAATATTCAGAATTTTGAATTATACTTTAGGGATATGGGTTATGTCAAAAAAAATTTAATTCGTGCATTCTAAATTCTTTTTTTTTTTTTTTTTTTTTTTTTTTTTTTTTTTTTTTTTTGTAGTTTTTTTTTTTTTTCAGTTTTTAGTAGGAAACATTGTTGTAGAATAAAATTTAGACCTGAGAGAGAGAGAGAGAGAGAGATGGATGGCTGCAGGAGAGACATGTCAGGAATGTGAGCTGGAGAAGCTTTTTCATGATCAACTCCATTGCTTTCAAAGAGAGAACTGAATCCAGACAAAAGCTTCACCCAATGGAGTGTAAACTGATAAAGCAGACTTGTGTGTTTTTTAAATTTATAAAGCGAAAACCCAACCCTGGAATCCAACAGTGCCTCTTTTCTCTCTCTCTCTCTCTCTCTCAGCCCCGTTTGTTTTAAGCTGGGTATTGAGACTAGTAATACCAAGGTATTATTAATGCCCTTGTTTGTTTGTAGAGATAACCTTGGGACTATTAGTCCCTTAGTATTACTAATACCCTTGGAGAGGGGATTGGTAAGGAGGAGGTAGAGATGAGAGAGAGAGAGAGAGAGAGATGGGTGGGTGCAGGAGAGACATGTCAGGAATGTGAGCTGGAGAAGCTTTTTCATGATCAACTCCATTGCTTTCAAAGAGAGAACTGAATCCAGACAAAAGCTTCACCCAATAGAGTGTAAATTGATAAAGTAGACTTGTGTGTTTTTTAAATTTATAAAGCGAAAACCCAACCCTGGAATCCAACAGTGCCTCTTCTCTCTCTCTCTCTAAATTATTAATTGTTTCTAAGACATCACATAACTATATTTTAGATTAATCATAAATTTTCTTATCTTTTCATGTTTTTTAATTATTTAATATAAAATTATAAATTTTACTCATTTCATTAATCACAATGAATACAAATCATTCACACGACGCACCCCTGAACCAAACATATAACTTATCTCTTTCTACTAGAATGGTTAGTCATTTACTACAACTACAACTATCCCCAGTGGAATAGGCAAATCACTTTGAAAATATATGTAATATAATAATATAATTAAAAAAAAAAAAAATGTATTTTGACTATGGTGTCTACCCATATTAAGTGAAGCAAGAAGCTTCCATTCTTTTTTTTCTCCTTTCCCTTTATAGAAGAAAGAATAGTTTTTATAGTCCTACTCTCTTTCTATTTTCTTGCATTGGAATTCTCAAGTTTGGGTATCTGAAAAAAGACAAAAAAGAAAAATCAGATTTAGATTCCCTTTTCCTTCAAAATTTTCCTCTCATGTGTTCTTGAAAAGATAGATAACCTCCTCCTTCTTCTTCAGCTGTAGTAGGCTCTAAAAAACAAGTAATCACAAGAAGAGGAATAGACAGAGAAAGAAAAGAACAGAAAAAAAGATATATAAAAAAAAAAAAAAAAAGTACAACCACTCCACAACTGATTCTTCTCCTTCTTCTTCTTTTCTCTCTCTTGATTTTCCTTGACTGTTTCTCTCTCTACCTGTGACTGCAGAAATCCAGGAGCTTCTTCCTCCCTTCAACAATCTCATCAAAGAAATCATCAAGTTGTCCAATGATATTCTCAGCCCCTGATCTCAACACCCCAAAACAACCCTTCAAATTGTCCACTCTCTCTCTAATCCCAACCTCTGTTTCCCAATCCGGCACCACTCCCTGTGAGCTCCTCCTCTCCAATTCTCCCCTCAGCTCATCCATGGCGGCCTTCGATCTCCGAAACTCAAACATCAAAATCCCCGGCCTCCCGTTGATCTGATTCACCTCTGCCACCACTCTCTGATGCAACCTAGCTGTTGAAATCATGAACCCTGATCTAAATAGCAAGCAATCTTCATACCCACCTCCTCCATTTCCTCTGAGGAAATTTGATTCAGGCCAATTGTAGACTAACCCATATAGCAAGATCATGAGAAGAAGCGAACTAACATTCCTCATTGCATAAAGAACTCCCCTGAATCCATTAAACCCATTGAGCTTTGATTCAACAGAGACTTTCTCATCAAATCTCAGTGACAGTGGCTCAATTCTTGTCTCCATTAATCCCCTGTTTTCTTCCTCCAATCCCACCGCCTCTCTCCTACACCCTGATATCGCCCGAATCACCTGTTGTTTCAAACAAATTCAATCAAAAAAAATTAAAAATTAAAATTAAAATTTTGATCTATTGGAATATACCTGACGAGAGAGCTGTGGAGAGAGATGGCGATGGGCGTCGAGAGAGGAGGTTATGTTGAAGCCGGCAGAGTAGTAATTCTCCATACCCGATACGCTGGATTTGAGGACATGACAGACTTCCCAGAGCTTGGAACTCTCATCCATGTACTCATCAAGCCATTTTTCACCAACTGGTAAGTGAAGTTTTTGAACAAGAAGAGTCAATTGGGTATGGAATGATCTGAGGAGCGAGAGGACTCTTTGGAGGAATTGAATTGACATGAAGTTGTTGGAAAGGAAGACTCGTTCCAGATCGTCGATTCCTCGGGTGAGGAAGGAGTAGAAGCCATTCACAGAGTTGGTGGAAGAAGGATCCATCATGAGAGAGAAAAGAAAAGAAAAGAAACAGAGGAGAGGCAGAAAAGAAAGGGGATGGTGGTTGGTTGTTAAACAAGGGAGAAAAGGGGAGGAATGGAAGGAGGGATATTTAAATTGTGGGATTGGAATTAGAATTGGAGTTGGGATGGAATGGGAAGGGGATGGATGATTATCTTAGAAGCTCAGGTTTCTAAGGTTTGAAAAGGACTGTTGGGGGCAATGATGGGTGTTTCCTATACAGGGGAAAGGATGATTGGTAATCTGCTATTTTCATTGTTTTATGGGCAGAAAGGAAGACAAAGAAAATAAATAAATAAATAAAAATAACAAAGAGAGATAGGGAGAGGAGAGTGAAACCAGGCAAAACCAAAAAGAAAAAAAAAAAAAACATGAAATTTTCATGAGCTCCTTTCCAACGTCTTCCTCTTCTTCCCTGTTTTCTTTGTCCTCCAACACTTCAAATATGTACATATACAGAAAATATTTTGGTGTGTAATGTATATCATTTTGTAATCTTAATATAAAATTATAAATTTTTTTACGAATTTACATAAATAATATCATAAAAATACATAAATAAAATATAAATTTGTAAAAGTTCCTAAAAATTTAGCGAATGTATTCATGCTATGTATTTGGGTCCGCAATTTTGTGGGCTCCACACCCATGTGAGACATTTGATCATTTATTTGATAGAAAATTTGGGACCTCTAACATTTTTCTTCTTATTTTTCTTGTTTGGGGTTTCTAGAGGAAATATGGAATGATGGGGTTCCTTGTATGTGTGTTTTTATATACCTTTCTACCATGCGAAATCAGTCTTTTTAGGCCACCCAAACTGGTTGACAATATTGATCCTCTCTTCTCTCTTTTGTTGTTCTGAATTAGATATATATTATGTATTTTTATAATAAATATTATGTAATTTTTTGATAAAATTACTACTATTTAAATTCATAAATAAAATTACGTATTTTGTAGTAATATTATACATTTTTGTTGTTATATATATATATATACATACATATATATTTATCAAAGCATCTAAATCTTGAATCACAAAATAGGCAATCTCACCACAAAAATTTGTAATATTACCATAAAATTATGTAACTTTATTTTTTTTTCAATAACAATTATCATAGTTTAAAAAAATACGTAATACTTATCACAAAAATAGATCATATGTATTATGTACCCTTAATTTTTTCAAATTTATCTTGAATGAAATTATGTGGTTATAATTGAATTTGTTTGGTGTGGAGTTTATGTATAAAATAAATTTGAATTATAAGATAAAAATTTTAAATAATTTTTGAATTTATAAGGATGAATTTGTAATATTAGTCAAAAAGAAAATGCATGTACAAAATAGTCTTTCTGAATTATTTCCCTACTACACTATTAGGATTTTAGGACTTGAATTTTGGAGGAAGATTAAAAAAATTAAAAAAGAATAGATGGTAGACCTTTAAATCTTTGAAGATTTTTCTTTCTCTTTCCTTTTCTATCTTGATATCATTTTAGTATAATTTCTTACAAATTAAAAATTAAAAATTAAAATTAAAAATTAAAAATATTTATTCTCCTGCTACTTAATAATTTTTTAACTTATTTAAATTATTTTTATATCATAATATGTCAGTAAAAATTATATCACATATTCTTACATAAATTTTTAAAATAAAAATAGTGCTACAAACTATAAAAAAAAGAACCATGCTTTAGATCTAACATTAAACCAAATCCACATGAATATTTGATGCAGGCCACTTGATTGGCAGGCCTCAGTCCCATCAATCATCTTGTGGCTTCAATTTGTCAAAACAACATCCCAAAAAAGAAGAAAAAAAAGAAAGAAAAACAACAACAACAAAAAAAGAAAGAAGGAAAGAAAGAAAGAAAAAAATCATCTTGTTGGTCCTGATAATGTTTTTGACATAATCACGTGATCTTAATGATATACCAAATTTAGGTGAGAATAATATTAGAGGTATTAAATTTTTTACTAAATAAATGATCAAAGGGTTCAGTTTTCGTCTAGTTTGGGATCAGACTGGACTATGCTATTAGGCCCACGGGGGCCACCACGAGTCCCGTTTTGAAAATTCGAACCGTTTAATGTGTAGAACTCGTCGAGTACTACATGGCTGTAAAAAATCACATTGATTGGATATCGATAACTATGTGATCAAATCAGTTTTGTATAAAAAAAATAGACGGTGAAAAAATTAACAGTTGATAAAAAACTGTTTTGTTCACATAGTTATCGATATCCGATCAACGTGATTTTATACAAGCATATAGTACTCGACAAGTTCTACACATTGAACGGTTCAGATTATCAAAACGGGATCCGTGATGGGCCCCCACGGGCCCAACAGCACGGTCCAGTCTGATTCTGGACTGGACAGAAGCCATGGCCATGATCAAATGTCTCGTATAGATGTAGGGTCTATATTTTTATGAACCGCACACCCATGTGACATATTTGATCATTCATTTGGTAGAAAATTTATGAGGTATAACATTTTGAATCCAACAGTAGTGAAATCTTACAAGTTGCAAGGAGTTTTTTTTTTTTTCCTTCTCGATGCTCCTAATGAACATCTAATTCTTCTTTTGTATTTATATATTTTATTATAAAAAATGTTAAAAATAGCGTTTTGATATTGTTATTAGTATTAAAAAATATATTAAAATTTATATAAAATATATTAAAATGTGTAAAAATATTTTGAGACATGTAAAATATGTATTGAGATTATAAATATTTTAGCATTATATTTGTTTTATTGATAGGCCTGTCATTAATAATTTTTTTATTATTTATGTAATTATATATAAATATATAAGGAAATTGCTATTCTTATTTTACTTTGTTATAAATACATTTTTTTTTTCTTATTATACATAAAAACGAGTGTATTTAGAATAAAATAAAATAAAAATGATAATTATATAAAACAAAGACAGAGAATGAAAAACATTTAAAACAAATATGGTGAAAATAACAGCTCCCATATATAATAGTAATAGTAATAATAATAATAATAATAATAATACTGTAGGATGGGGGTATGGGGGAGCGGACCAGGAAATCTTAATTATATGTGAAGAGATTGATGGTGTGTTTTGTTTTGTTTAATTGGAGTTACGGAGGGTGCTCGTGGGTTTTTGGAGAATGGGACACTTGAGAGCATGTTGGTCTTTCGAGATCTCGTTGGAAAGTGAATTTAGTAACTTGGGTTCATTTTTTATGACATTGATTTGGGCGCCTCGTCTTATTTATTTATTTATTTTTGTTTAACTTGGTTTGAGAATAAATTATTTTAATAATTTTTTAATTTTTTAATTAAAATATAAGATAAACAAACTTAGGTTATGTTTAGTGCGGTTTTAAAAACTTAATTCTACCCCTTCATTTGCATATATTGTTTGGATGAAGTTTTGGAATTGTAAATTCACTACACATTTTAAAACATATTTCTTTTTCCTGTTTGAGTACTCTCTCTTTCGTGTTTTCCATTTTGAAAAGTAGAGGATATTTGAATTTTGGGTATACCTAGTCGTCCGGAACAGCGTTAGTGGGGTTTTTTTTTTGCACCTGTTATTTTTATATTTTAAATAAAAAATATTTTGGATTTTTTTTTAAAATTTTTATGAGCTATGAATAGAATTTTGGGTTGTGTGTTTAGTTATGAGTTGTAAATTTTTGAATCAAATATCATATGTTACACCACTTAATTCAAACTTAATTCAAAACTCTTTTCAAAACTCATAACCAAACAAATTTTTCACACTTAAATCATAATTTCAAAACTCACAAACTCAAAATATAACTCTATTATCAAATCATAACTCTAAAACTCTACCAAATGCAACCTTATATGTTTGGAATGACTTTTTAATTTTTTACGAAAAGATGTATAAAAAGTAAAGAGAAAGAGAAATCTTAATTTTTTTTGGTATAGGTTATAGGTTTTTCACTTTTTTAGTAATTTTTTGACTTTTAGGCGAAAATTATTACTTCCCAAACGAGAGCTTAGTATGGTTACATATAGGGGGTGTAATTTTGGCTTGCAAGCCCGCAGCTCATTTGAAGCTTGCTCGCGGCTTTAGTGGGCCTGGCTAGGCTAGAATTGTGGGCCTGAGCTTGGGTTGTGTTCTGGTGCTCGACCTGAATTTTTTTCCCCTCTAGCCTACCCTCGTCCTGCCCCAAAGGCTCTCTACCGCCTTTCACTGTGCAACGATAACAAATTTTTAAAAAATTTGAAACGGTCAAATGACTGTTAATTCCACAACGCCCAATTTTTTTATTTTATTTTATAAATTAACCCCTCCCTCCCCCAACTTCTATAAATACCACTTTTCTCCCATTTTATTTCTCACTAACAAATCTGTTTCTCAAACTCTCATTTTTCTCTCAACTCTCTCAATTAATTTTGAAATCTCATTCCTAAGTAGCAATTATAATTGTGCAAGAAGAAGCTATTATCAAAAGAAACTAATTTTTATATTACATTCGTCAGTCAGTAACATTTATTATTTGAATTAATATTTATTAGTTACTCTTTGTTTCTTTTTTGTTTCTTTTTCTTTTTTACGTTAATTATTTCGTAACATATATTACTAGTTATTGTTTGTGTGTTATTATTTATTCATTATTTTAATTAATTGTTAGTTGATATACATTATTTTAGTTATATTACTAAGGAAGGACATTCCTAATATTTATGTCGATATTGATGTATATACACAATATGAATATGTTGATTCTCCTTCTAATGTGTCTAATATCTCTCTTCCAATAGCAGTATCATCATCTAAGAGCATGACTAGTAGTGTTTGGGAACATTTTGAAAGAGTATCTGTAAATAATCCTGATGATACAATTACAATTAAAGCAAAATATAAATATTATACACATTTACTTAGCGCTGCGTCTGCAGGGGTACTAGTCATCTAAAAAAACATGCTAACAAACATTTACAAAGTTAATGACTTGATATTAGAACTTAAACACAATTAGGGTGTTTATCAACTAGCAATTTGTAAACATTTTTATATGATTCTATACGTACACAAAATTTTGTAGTTGATTATATTATGAAAAGGGAACAACCTTTTACTACTAGGGAATGTCTCCCTTTTTATAAATGATTCAAAAAGGTTTTGCACTGCAATATCAAGATTTTTTTAAGAAATATTACTAGAAATAGGATTTTAAATAAATTTGAGAATATTAAAAATGAATTATTTGACATTTTTAAAAATTTGAATGGAAGATTTTGTTTAACATCTAATCTATGGTCAAATAATGGTTTAGAATATCAATGTATCACTGTACA